TTTATCATCACATCAATTTCTCATTTTTTACATTTTAGTGAGAAATAATTTTTTAATAGCAACTTATTAGCATTTAAAAACAAAGTCAATGTAACGTTGATGACAACTTTGCTATCGATAACATGGTATATTCCCGTTGAAAAATTTTCACAAATCATTTTGCATTTTAATTACTGTAATAATATTCTCATTAATATACCTATGTATATATGCGCGCGTATAGAATATTATGAATAAAACTATCAAACTTTGAATTTAGTAATACCTACTGCAGTCTTTGCATTAATCTTTAGCAGTTACACATTAAATCGTTTTGAGAAAATTAAATTAAGGAGCAAATTTGTAGTTTGTCAACTAGGATAATCGTTTGCCCGGCCGTAATGTTTTGTATATAGAATTTAGGCACAAGCAAATGTGATAACTGCGAAAGATTCATGTTAAAACTTTCAGAACAGTTTCTGCTACAACAAAGAGTTTACAATAAAGATGAAGGAAATTTATCTGCTGTATCAAACAATTTCGGTTGTATCCACCAGAGGTTGAATTGCATCTGCGGCAAAACCTATTACAGCAGTGCTGTAAAATATTTGAAATGCGTTTAATAAAACTGAAGATGATCAATGAAAAATGTTCAAGTCTTATTAAATCAATGATTGTGATTTTAGGGACATAGAAATGTGTAATGATAATATTTTACATTTCTTTCATATAAAAAAAAGAAAAAAATAATAGCATTGAATGTTAGTATTCAAAAACTATACAAACATAAAGGCATGCGACAATACAAAACTGAATCTGATTATGATTTTAGGGTTTCTTATACAAATGAAATGAAATAGTTTCGAGTTTATATTAAAAATAGTATTACTAAATATTTTCAATGCCCTTTTTGTAAAGAATTTTATTGCTTTGAATTTGAATTTTATACATGTGGGAATATAATGCCTTTCAATTATGTGCACCAAAGTCATTTAAAAATCAATGTGGAAATGTTTTGGAGTACCGAGTCAGTGATAAGATAAAGACTTAGCATTATCTTATTCGAAGAGCTAAAATTGTAGATTCTTGTACCAACGTTCTATGGTTGATAGTAGATCTGAGATTTCATGTAATTACATGAGTACATAACTGTGCATTTATGCCATACTTTCGTGTGGATATGAAGCTGTGATACTGTGATTCGAATCAGTTATGTCCAAAAGATAAATATAATTTACAAAAAGCGTTATTTCGATTAAATATGCTTATTTCCTATAATGAATCAGCCATCATAATATTACAATATCTGCTTCTTGTCTTTAAAAACTACAAAAAATATAAAATTATTGTATTATGATTTGTGTCAAAATGTAATTAGAATTAGAATTAGAACGTTAAATTTAATATATGTATAAATGTGTGCATTAGACCTTTAAAGTTAATCTCATACATTGAAACATGCGTAACTAGACAAACAATAGGAAATGAAAATCATGCACAGCAATCAATTCTAAAAAAAGAAAAAAAAAAGAAGAAAAATCGTGAATAAATCAACTTTTATTTATGCAGAATTAAGTTATTCATGTTTTGTAAGTACACGACCTTTACCTTTTTCATAAATTACAGTTTCAATACACATTGGACAGTGGTATTGATAGACATGATGTCTATCGTGTACAATATTTTGTATATATTTTGTACATTGA